TTTGCGTGGTGACACTGGGTTAACCGGCAAAGCTACAGTATTTCTCCAGTTTAAAAAAACGTTCATTTTCAAACTTTGAGACTTTTTCAGGCTTTTTTTGACCTGCAGCAACCCTGTGCTCGGTACATATCATGATCTCAGAAATTATTTTATTACTTAAAATAAAGTAATGGATAATTTTCATTTTGAGCAGATGTGTGAACTTTTCATGTGATGTCATGATCAGTTTTAATCCAGGGAATATTTTGGTTTATAAGCAAATACCTGCAGAAAAAACAACGTCATTCTTATCTTGGAAAAGAAGACATCAAAGATATCGAACTTCCACAAAAATCTTTTCATACCTTCAGTCTGCCAAACTCACAGGCCAAATCTAGTGGTGTCTTCTTAGCCTTGTTCATGAAGCAGGGATTAGACTGATGCTGCAGCAACATCTCAGACTGAGAGCCAAGAAGAGGGAGAGAGTGTAAAATTAGTGCTATCAACTAACATATTACGCACTTGCTTTCACATGTCAGTCTTCCCAACATGCTCATTAATGTGTGTGTGTGTGTTTGTCTGAACAGACGAACATAGAACAGGTCGGGTGCAGCCTCTGTGTCCTAAAGAGGTCAGGGGTCAGGGGTTGTATGACGTAACAAGTTCTGTATGTGCACGATATATTCAAACATTCCAGCAAGCACGTAGCACGTTAGTGCCTGTAGACTCTTTAATGGTTTGCATTAATGGTATTACTGCTATTGTTGCTGGACAATAGCAGCTGAGGCACAAAGGGGATCGATTTCAGTGAAATGGGAGGATGGGTAAAACCTTGGAACTTTGCCTTTAGCCTCCGGTGTTTGTCTGCTTACTCACCACCTCATAGTGTCCGTACTGTGCAGAGAGATGCAACGGTATCTGTCCATCATTGGAAGGGGAGTTGACCGCAGCGCCGGCTCTCAGCAACAATAGAACAGAGTCAGCTTTACCCTGCCACGCTGCGTAGTGGAGGGGACGCATGCCTAAACGTGGAAATGAGGAAGGTAAGAAGAGGTTAGGAGACAAGAATAAAAAAGC